TTTCTCTGCGTAGCTTTGCGCCTTTCCTGGAGCTCACTTGGTAGCCCAGGCTGGCCTCGAACTCACAGAGATCCACCTGGCTCTGCCTCCCGAGTGCTAGGATTAAAGGCGTGCGCCACCACTGCCCGGCGATAATTCTTATCAGTTAAAAGAGTAAAAAGAGTTTGCTGTGTTGTAGAATTAACAATAAAAGGGAATAAAAGGAAGAAGTGATGTGAGGTAGAACTGGGTAACGTGAGGGACTAGAAACAACAGTCCCTTCTGGCCAAGCCCGACAAGACTTCCATATCCATAACACTGAGAAAACTGACTCAAGAAAGTTGACTTGACCTTCACATGGATGAACACACACACACACACACACACACACACACACACACACACACACACACACACACACCTTTTAAAACAGAAAATCTGTGTGAACTCCACAGAACTGAGGAGTTTTGTGAGGTAGGTAGGTTGCATATGTATGCAACTCTGTGTGGTTTTTCTTTCTTGCTATCTTTCTCGATTACCTTGGTAATATGTGTGCGGGTGTAGTTCAATTTATTTTATTTTTATTTATTTATTCTTCTCTCACATATTACATTCTGACCACAGCTTGCCCTGCTTTCTCTCCTCTGTTTCCCCCCCCCCACCTCCCTCTCCCCAAGATCCACCCTTCCTCCATTTCCCTTCATAAAATGGCAGGCCTTCCAGGAATATCAAACAAACAAGGCATAACAATTTGGAGTAAGACTTCTCATATTAAGGCTGCACAAGGCAATCCCAGTATGAGGAAAAGGGTCCCAAGAGCAATCAGAAGAGAGACAGCTCCCAGTCCTACTGTTAGAAGTCCCACAAAAACACCAGGCTACACAGCCATAACATAGAACATATGTACAGAGGACCTAGGTGAGAGCCATACAGGTGCATTGATTGTTGGTTCAGTCTCTGTAAGCCCCTATCAGTCCAGGTTAGTCAATTCTGTGGGTTTTCTTGTGGTGTCCTTGACCCCTCCGGCTCCTACAATACTTCCTGGCCATCTTTCTCAGGATTCCCTAAGATATTCCTAATGTTTAACTGGGAATCTTTGCATTTGTTTCCATCAGATGAAACCTCTCTGGTGGATGATTATGCTAGGTTTCAATGTACAAGTATGACCAAGTATCATTAAGACTCATTTCATTGTCTTTTTTTTTTCCAGTCATTTTTGGTTCTATCCTAGGTCTCTGGGCTATCCAGCCTCTGATCCCTGGTTCTCCATGCAGTATCTGGCACGCGCTTTTCTGGTAGCATGGGTCTCAGGCTGGACCAGTCATTGGCTGGCCACTCCCACAGGACTGTGCCACTTTTATCCCAGCACATCTTGCATGCGGGACAAATTGCAGGTCAATGATTTTGTGGCTGGTTTGGTGTCCCGATTCCTCTACTGAAAGTCTTGCCTGGTAACAGGAGAAGGCTGATTCAAGCTCCGTATCCCCTATTAGTAGGAGTCTTAGGTGGGTTCACTCATAGATTCCTGGGAGTTTTCATTGCACTAGTTTTCTACCTCATCCCTGAAGTTCTCCCCACTTCTAGTTGCCTCCTCTTGCACTCTCTCCCCCCATCCTCCCCTCATCTGATCCCTCATGTTCCCATCTCCACCCACCCCCAGTCCACCTGTGATATCAATTCTATTTATCCTTCCCAGGGAGATTCATGCATCCCTTCCTTGGGCCCTCCTTGTTACTTAGCCTTTCTAGGTCTGTGAATTATAGCATGATTATCCTTTACTTCCAAGATAATATCCACTGTCTTAATTAGGGTTTCTATTGCTGTAAAGCCACACCATGGCCATGGCAACTCTTATAAAGGAAAACATTTAATTGAGGTGGTTTATAGGTTCAGAGGTTTAGATGGTTATCATCATGGTGGGACATGGCAGCCTGCAGGCAGACATTGTGCTGGAGAAGGAGCTGAGAATTCTACATCTTGATCCACAGGCAGGAGAAAGAGTCTGTGTCCATATTGGGCATAGCTTAAGCATAGGAGACCTCAAAGCCCACCCTCACTGTGACAAACTTCCTTCAGCAAGGCCACACCTACTCCAACAAGGCCACACCTCCTTATAGTGCCACTCCCTATGAGCTTATGGGGACCAATAACAACAATTACATTCAAACTACCACATCCACTTATAAGTAAGTACATACCATGCTTGTCTTTCTAGATCTGGATTACCTTACTCAAGGTGAATTTCTCTAGTTCCATCCATTTGACTGCAATTTTCATGATGTTATTTTTTTTAACTGCTGAGTATTACTCCATTGTGTAAATGTACCACATTTTCTTTATCCATTCTGTGGGTGATGAACATCTAGGGTGTTTTCAGTTTCTAGCTATTATAAATAAAGTTACTATGGACATAGTTGAGCAAGTGTCCTTGTGGTAGAATGGAACACCCTTTGGCTATTTGTCCAAGAGAGGTAGTGCTAGGTCTTGAGGTAGATCAATTCCCAATATTCTGATAAACCACCACATTGATTTCCAAAGTGGCTGTACAAGTTTGCACTCCCACAAGTAGTGGAGTGTTCCCCTTGCTCCACATCTTCTCCAACATAAGCTGTCATCAGTGTTTGATGTTAGCCATTCTGACAAGTGTAAAATGGAATCTCAGAGTCCTTTTGATTTGCATTTCCTCGATGACTAAGGATGTTGAACATTTCTTTAAGTGTTTCTCAGCCATTTGAGATTTCTCTGTTGAGAATTCTGTTTAGATCTGTACTCCATTTTTTAATTTCTTTCTGCAAAGACTTGAACTTCTTGTCATACAGGTCTTTCACTTGCTTGGCTTGAGTTAGCTGAGATGCTGTAGAGATTCCATAGAGTTATAGTGATTCTATAGAGAACACAGGGACAGGACTCTTGGAATAGACAGTTTTATATTCTACCCGCATATGTTTCAAGAGAGAAGTCAAAGCCTCCTTTGTGCCTGTGGAGAATGCATGTTCCTCCACCAAGAGTCAGCAAGCATCCTTCACATCTGATGACTGGGTCGTTTCTGTGGAATTCCAGTCACACTGATTCTGGGATGCCTGTGTCTGGAAAGATTATTCTGTGGTGGCTTTAGGTTAGAAATGGGATGATTTGGTGTCCATTAGCTTTTTCTTCAAGTTTTGATCCACATATTATCAGATATAAATAAGTTTGTATATTTATATGTAATTTTTTAAATGAAAGTGTTTTCTTAAATTTGATTTTTCTTTTTCAAACACTGATCAATATGATTAGAGACAAATCTTAACTATGAATCATCTTAATTGTTTTTCTCTTTAATAGATGAAGCCTAAATACATCCTTCATTCCTATATTTTGAACATTCTTGGACATTCCTAAGAAATACTTTTTTCTTTCTTTCTTTTTTCCTTTTTTTAAAAAATTACTACTCATGGAATCTTTTAGGACTCTGCATTTTAGACAACGTTGAGTAATGAATGCCTAATATTTTTACTCTTCATTTTCTAAAAGATATGTTAAAATCTTTCTATTGTAATTCCAAGACAATGTATTTTGTGTTTTTAATTTATTATTAAAAAATGCTACATTGACTAAGAATCACTTTAATTGAAGGTTAATTGGAATCTTGGCTCTCTTCCTTTTAAGCCTGTAAAACAGCATGCCTATCTAGCCTGCTTGTCTCCACAATTGCTGCACATCCTGCGTGCTAAGGTTTCTCATATGAAAGTGATCCATTACAGAATGGCTCAAGTAGACACCACGAAGTGAAAATCATCTATCTACCCATTGTGCTGTCCCCTGGAGAGAGTTGCAGCCTGTGTATTGTGCCCCTACTGGCAACATAAGCACAACACTGCCTTTAAGTGTCACTTGACATAATTCTATGTACATGACAGATAATGAAGGAATGGATCCAGCGTATTCCAGTGTTTGTCGTTTGTACACCCTTCTTTGTCATTATTACTACTTTTTTCTTCACTAACCCTGTCAGGAGCTTCTGTCTCCTCATGGTTCATACCTGACGCTGGGCTTCACAGAGCCTACTGCTGTAGTAAGCAGTCACTACATTTTTAGCCTGCAGAGTTCAGACTCAACCTCAATCATCCCAGCATCTCAAATCCCTCAACTTCCCAAGACAACCCAACTACCTAATGTATTAAGATTCTTGCTACAATTTGTACGTTAGACTGAATTAAAAATCATTGTAAAAGTCTGCCTTAAAACACTTTCAGTGTGTTACTAAATTAAGGTTAACTCTCAAGTATAATTTTCAAGCAATTAGCTTTGGTTTTTGAGCTGAGCAGAACACCACTTATAATGCTGAATACGAACGATTTATATACTACCATAGTGCGTTTCTTATAAAAATGTTAGGTCTGTAGCAGTGATTTGCTAATCAAATTCAGAATTTGATTTGAATGCCTCCGGCAGAAGGCCAATCCAGTTATGAAAAAAACAGAAGCAAAACCCAGAGCCTGGATGAGCCTGCTCCAGAAGCTAGCTGAATCCTTCACTCTCCTTAGCAAAAATGGTTCCAGAAATCACTGCATTGTTCCTAAAATAGGATATCATAGCTAATTTTTTCAATAAATTATTGGACTGTCCAAGACACAAAACATGTACATTTTGGAATCTAGAGTTATAAAATATTCTGACATGTTTTAATATAAACAGGAACATTTCCAATGATTGCCTGGATCTAAAATGTTTTTCCACTTGACATTTGTTTATACTGCCTAGGAAAGAAACTCTATTTATGGATAACTGAATGACACAAATAAACATGTGAGAGAGCTGAAAAATCAGCTTTGATTGTGCATGAAAGTCTACAATGCCATTGTGTACTCTTGTGCCGTATTCTGATTGCCTGTTTATTTTTACAGAACGGCTGGTGAGCCCATGGAAGAGGACCCAGCCCTGTGAAGTGCCAAGTCTCCCCTGATATTTCCTGTGTGTGACATCATTGTGTATCCCCCCCAACCCCAGCACCCTCAGCCATGTCTGCTGCCTGGGTGGCACGGTTTGATGGAACATAAACACTGGGCACAGAATTCTGAACAGCAGCTTCACTTCTTCTTTGGATGGACTTGAAAGGGTATTACAGATTCCTGAAATGTAACCACTGTGATTCTAAAGTTACAGTAACCAGGATTGGAAGAATCTGCGTCCAGCATGCTTTTATGCTGGTGACCCACTCGCAGGCAGACACGGTGTGAGCTAGAAATCTTCAATACAGTGCTAGGTACTGTCCATTTCAGAAGCTGTGACAGCCAGTGAAATTCGAGGCAGAACCTGAGACATATTCATTCCTGACATTATGATCAGTGTTTTATTGTGTAGTTTACTGTCAAGTAGACTTAAATTGTTTACAGGGTTTCTTTCCAGCTATGAGTGGATGGGAATTACAGACAGATTTCTGTGGGTTTGAGGGATTTTTTTCTTTTGTTTTGTTTTGGGTTTTTTTCTCTTTCTTTTCTTTCTTTCTTTCTTTTTTTTTGTTTTTGTTTTTGTCTTTGTTCTAACATACTTCCATCCTTTCTGGTAAGAGTTCAAGATGGAGCTGGGATGAGGCTTTGTTCTAGTGGAAAAAAATCACAATGGATCTGACAGTCCAAAGGAACTTGCACACTGTGCCTACAGTGTGCAGTGGGGCACCTTGTTGGAATTTTACATCTGTTTCAAGTTCTCACAGGATAGGGACTTGCAGTTTTGTCTGGGAGTGAAGTCTCTCCACCCCCATGCAACTCCATCTTGAGGACAGTGGCTCTGGAGGTGCATCCCTTGGGATGTGCAGGCTGTGAAAAGCACACAACTTCTCAAGTACTGTAGTCTGCTCCTGATCTACCTAGCACACCTTTTCTCAGCTTTCTTTCTTGGTCCCACTACTCCCTCCTTCTTTTAGAAAAATTACAAACCTCCCTGATACTCAGGGGATTTTAGTATTTGATTTACATTATTTACTTTTCAGATTCACCCACTTTTTGTTATCTGATTCTTCTGTGAAACTATTTTAGTGCATATGGCTTAAGTGATGCCACCAAGTTTTCCAGATTGTAGAAATACATCAACAAAGATGACAATGATCTGGAGTCCCTTTGCATGGGGCTAACTAGGAGTCGTGCCTTCCCATAGGAACTAACACAGCATTTAACCTTTGCACAGGTAGTCTTTCTAGCAAAGGTTCAAAATAAAGGACAATTATTTCTGAGATTAAAAACAGCTTACTAAGTAAAATATAAGCAAGTTAGCTGCTGCCTCTGAAAACTGTGTTTCAATGTGTAACTCCAACACCTAAAGACAGTGAGGTAAAATACCTCACATATTTAGTATCTGACAATGCTTTTGAACATTGATGTTTCTTTTTATATATTTTCCTAACTCAAAGGATATATTAAAGCCATAAGTGAAGATTGTCATGCTTTTATTCAGAAATCTGAAAGAGACCTTAATTAAAACAAGGTTTTAGAGAAGGCCGAGATATGAAAGCCATGGAACAATGTGGTTTTAGTTAGGGAGGACTCCAACCTGTAAATCAAAGATGAAAGATCTCACTCACGTAGAATTACATAACTCCCCTTTGTTAGACACTCAGACCACATTTTTCATGCACTTGGTTTTTTTTAGGATTACCATTTTAATTTTAAAGACTTTTATTATATATACAAAAATGGCTTGGTACTTGGTTTAACATTTTAGAAATTTGAGATACCCTTTGAAATAGGAAATCTGAAATTGAATGTAACTCAGTATTAGGTAAAAATTACTTTCATTGCATAAGGGTTAAGTCAATCTAGACTCATAATTGTAATAAATTTCTTTGTAAATTCCATTTTCTTGATGTTTTAGAGAAATTCATGCCAATTATATTTGCTAGCTCTTTTTTCTTTTCTTCCTCTCTTTTTTTGTAATTGAGGAAATTTACTTAAAGAAAACCAAAGGCTTAAAAGCTTACAAAAGACCTTCTCACTTTAAAAAGGGGGAAAGTTACCATACTTCAAAAAGCTATATAGTTGTGAAGCTTTAAAATCAACTTCAGAGTTACACTTCCCTATCCTTGAGAATATATATTAGATGCTGGCTAATGAGACAAAACAAGGTCACACAAGTATACCAATTCACTGATGTTCCTGCGATAACATGACCTCCTGAGGTGACTTGTCAGTCTGGTGAAGCCGAATCACTAGGACATCTCTGTGCAATTTAGATTTTTAAAATACTTATTGAAAGAGTTAATCATGCACTTCCTTTCCACCATGTGACAGCACACCTAACTGATTGCAATGCAAATTATTAGAATCTCAGGAAAGACAGATAAACCCTGGTGGGGAATGATTGCAGCTGAGCTTAGTCGTGAAGAGCTGAGTGATACTGCACCTGATTACATGCACCCTTAAAGATGAAGTGTGGCCCCAAAGGGCAGAAAATACCAACATTTCTTCTGGAGCTGACCAGCACTTTTAAACAAGTAGTTCAACTGGTATAGTTTTCTTCACCCACACATTTAGTTTTTATTGTTCCCAATGGTCCCCATTGACAAGCTAATGGAAAAGCATTATGGCTCATGGGTCTCATTCTGACCCACCCTTTGAAAGATGACTCCATGAATTCCCTCACAGTCTAACAACACACACACACACACACACACACACACACACACACACACACACACACACACACACACACGTTGAAATAAAATAATGATTTTTGAGAAATATATGACTAAAAATACTGAGTTTAAATGACAGTAACAAAGAGAAATGTTGTAATCAATTTTGTTTTCTACATAATTTCATGTTTTATTTTCAACTGAATGAAGCAACCCTAATAAGGAATTGGCAAGTATGAATATTAATGGAAATTTAGGCTTTGTTACTACTGACTAGCAAATGGGGAAAAATATTGGAGGAGAAATATTTCTAAATATTTTAGTCTAGTTTAAATTATCCATACTGGGGAGAGAGCTCAGATTTTGGAGATAATAGATGTATTTGTCTAAAAACTCCCACAAATGACATTTCCATCTACAGTCCTCGGAACAGAAATGGCGCCTTCGGTGTCAACTGTGACCCATTAGGCCCATTTTCATTCATCTAACTGAAGACCCAGGAGCCTGGAAAACGGGCCATTTCCTCCCACAAAGATTTCAAAAAATATGGGACTAGCCTCTCCCAATAGTTCAGACCTGTTTTATTTCTAGAGGTCAATCATGAAGCTTTGTAAATTTACTGATATCTTTACAGACTCCCTAGGGGAGTAACGGAGAATGGTCCTGAGAGGCAGCTAGAAGAAAACTCTCCATTCAGCACTTTTAAGCTTTTTTTTTAAAAAAAAAATTAATTTATTTATTTAATTTTTTTTTTACTATTTCTCTCTTCAAAATTTTTTCTCTATTTGTTTCAGTGGACACAAGTGTTGAAATCTAATCCCAAAAAGAAGCCAAAATTTTCTCTCATAAAAATTATTCATTCTGAGCTTGGAATTCTGTCAAGTGTGACATTGTCTTTTCTAGTCTTATCTGTCTTAACGTTCTGTTCCTGCTTTTGGAAATGAAATCATGTGCTTGCTGAGAGAGAGAGAGAGAGAGAGAGAGAGAGAGAGAGAGAGAGAGAGAGAGAGAGAGAGGAGCACGAATGACCTGTCTGCTGTACTACTTCCAAAAAGACGCCATTTACCTCCAAAAGAAATGAAAAACAGATTATCTGAGGCAGAGAACAAAGGCTTTCCGTTATTTGCAAAGCTGGCCATGGCTGTGGTCACACTCACCATCAGCCCTTCTGTGTTCCTGTTATATACCAAGACCATAGGATTTCCATTCTCCAGACCAGTCACAGTACATATACATGCCACTTACAACATCCCTACCAGCTCTTGTGAAATATATAAAGGAATGAGTGTGTCCATTATTAATAAGTATGTTGAGAGTAACTCCATCAGACCCATCTTAGACCATTGATCTAAGGCTAATTGGACTTTATCTCTATGATAAGGTATTAGAGTGGTTATAATTTCTAAAACTGTCTTAAGTCTCAAACTAGAACATTTAGAAAATACATAATACACTGTACAGTGCCAGTATTTCTAACCAATTATTTCCTTTCCCCCTTGCTTGCCTGCCAATACAAATTTGGCATATTTAAACAATCAGAATAATTGTGAATCCTCTCTACTCTATGTTCCCTAAGCAGAGGCTACCCTGCAAGTTTCTCTTCTGAGATCCCACTTGGCTTATGTGCCTTCATGCACTTTTTCTAAACCTAGTCTATAATCTTGATTGTGTTTTTTTTTACTTATTCCTTATCTAGAGACACCCGACTTACCTAGCTTTACCCAAAATGATACCCAAGCTTGGGTTTAGTCTGTACCCGGGGCTTGCCACTTTATTTTATTAATGCAGCACTTTATTTTTGTGTCAAATATCTTCCACCATTTTTGCTCCGATCAACTGAGTGATGTTCGTTGTCACACAGGGAAGATTGTGCACACTCTCCATGCCCTTTGGAAGACACACGAGACAAACCAAGAAGTACACATGACCACCTGAAGTAAAAATGGCAAAGGAGAACCTAAGGGATTACATATTTTGGCAATAAAAAAGCCTGACATATTAAATAAGAAATGGACTGCTTTTAATTTTCCTATTTGGTCCTTAAGCACATTAGGGCACATTACAGTGCCACATGTATATGGTTAATTGTCTTCAGGGATACTGTGGCCAGGTCCTTTGCCCTTTCAAGAAGATGGCACTTTGTATCAATGATAAAGTCATATCTGGATTGAGCTCTTTATTAACTAACATTTAGTAGAAATGGAATAACAAAAATCACAAAAGAATTGAAAGTTTTATAATCTGAAGAGAATTCTGTGTGTATGAAAAGGTTATTTTTAGAAAGGAAAAAGTTCTTTATCGCTTGCTAAGTTGTAAGATTCTCAGACTCTTTTTGGATGACTCTGTGCAGACCTCCCACGAGCTGGGTGAGATGAAATTGCCCTTTCAGTGATGGCAGGGTTTATCAAGTGTGCTGTCAAAAATTGGTGACCTTTTTGTTGGCAATCTGTGTCATTCAAAACAAACATCCTGATATTATAACTCAATTGGGTATATATATATATATAATTTATTACTCTTTTTGGTTGAATGCTAGACCATGATTATTGGAGTGAGTGCAGATACTGTGGACTTTCTGGTTCATTCCTGTAATGTGAATGTGTCTTTTGTATTGTGGTCTTGTATCTGTTACTGTAATAAGATCAGTTGGTTGTCCTCTGTGACCAAGTAGTTTTGCCCTTAATTTTTTGGCTTTCATCAAAATCTGTCACCCAGAACTGCAAAGAAAAGTATACATTGCCAAACATGAATTTGTTCTGCCAGTGATGTGTTCCCAGATGTGCAAGGTAATACCTAATAAAGGTGTCATAGCTAAAAACAGCACCATTGTTGAACATGCTTTCCAAGTGTTCACCTTCTCTCTGCTTCTTATTCTTTTGCATTTGGAAACACAGTATCATGCCCCAAAGGATTGTTGATGTTGTTAGTGTTACTACTCCTTAAAAAGAATAACGATGCCCTTTTTGTCTTGTGTTTTTTACTGATTAGATTTTCCTGTAGCCCTATGTGAATAAAAGCTATTTGAAATAATTGTGTCCTAAAGTTTCTACATCCTATGTGCCTGCCCTTAGACTCTGTATCACAAACACATGACAGATATTTTGTGATAAACAAGTATAAATTGTGAGGTAGGACGATATACACTATTCTACTTTTCAAAACTGTAGATATTTGAGGCCAAAGAGATGACCAGAGTTAGAAGCACTGACTGCTCTTGCAGAAGACCAGGGTTCATTTCCCAAGACCCACATGGCAGCTCACAACTATCGGTAACTTGAGTTCCAGGGGATCTGATAACCTCTTCTTGCCTTTACAGGCACCTGGCACACACGTGGTATATATACATGCAGGTAATATACTCACAAATATAAAATAAAAATGAATCTTTTTTAATTAAAAAGTATCTCTTGGGATGAAATGAGAATTAACAACTGAAAAAAATTATCAATCAAAACAAAGTTACAAGTTGACTTGTTAGTGCATGCCTGTAGTCCCGGAACTTTGGAGGCTGCAACAAGAAGGTTGCCACAAGTTCAAGGCCAACCTGGCTGTATAGTGAGTTTCAAGTCAACCTGAGAGAACCTGTCTCAAACAACAAGTTACAGTTACTGATTTGACTGTAGTTTGCTTGTCAGAATAAAGAGCAATAAAACCTGTCAAATGCACAATTCTCTACAGAGTGTTATACTAGAATTCTCACACAAGTCTTGTATCACTATTTACTTGTATGGACTATTTACAGATGAGAATAAATTTAACACGCTCACTATCATTATAGTCAGGAAGAGATGCATACATCTGTCTAGCTTTAAAAAGTCAGTGTTCTTCCCAAATGACATCTACTACCCATAAAAGGTGGTGCACTAAGTACACTTCAACTAACAATCTATGCCTAACCTTTAGCGTGGACTGTATGGGCAGCCTCCGCTAACCTGGGGTTTTATTAAACTCTGGAGTTAAATGGAGCTGGTCGTCATGGCTAGGTTAGCATAGTAATTTACAAAACAGTTATTTCTTACCATATACAAAAATCTTACTTTAATTGAGACAGGAACTCTAAATTGTCTTTGGAACACATACTCCAAATCTTTTGAAATCTAGTCCAAGACCAACACTTATTTTTGTATTTTAAAACCCCCTGCAATATTTAACATTTTAAAACATAAATGTTTCCAATGGACAATGGTTTGGGTTCCTTCTGGGAAAAGATAGGCGTATTTTGTCTAACAAAATGTAAACTTGAGTTGGAGTGTGTGAGTAGAGTTGATTTCAATGGTAAACACCTTTGTCTTAATCAGATTTGTCAAATGGCAAGTGTTACTTCATGATCCTTTGTTTCTTTTAAGTTTCTGTGGTGAAAGAGGCCAACTGAAAAAGTGAAGGGTAAGTGGAAAAGTAGGCTGGAATGTCCTGTTCACCGGTGAGTGGTTGTAATTGAAAATACAAGCTTAAAACATGTCTTTCACTACTCAGCACTGTTGTATCTGTGTCATTTAGTGTTGGTGAACACAAAGTGCTTCCAAACATTGTCATTTCCCCATGAATTGTGATACCAAGGGGACAAATTTTTTCTGCTCTCCTGGTTGGTCACAAACAAATCAGTCCATATATATCTTAGTAATTATTTTGAAAAAAGAAAATTCTTTTGGCAAGTGCTTAAGAATACGGACACAAGATTCAGGAGAAGAGACCAAGAAATTTTCTTTTTTGAACTGTAGGAAGCAGAATTAAAAAGAAGAAAAAAGATTTAAGTTCTCAGTATATCTAAAAACTAAGAAACCAGATTGATCTCCATATTGAAAGAGTATGCAGTATAATAGTAAAATATAGCATGAGCCCACTTACGTGTCTCCTTTAATCATTTTGCAAAAACTAATTAGTTTAAAATTAAAACCCATTGTGTCACACTTTAGCTTTCATGATGAAATTTCCCCTTTCCACCCTTTTGTTCCTTGATTTTTTGTTGTTGTTTTAATCTGGGGCATGGCAGGAAAGAGATTGAGAGCATGGTGTAAAGGGCACAAAGAATAGATAAAAAGAAAGTTAAAAAAATAAAGTTTAAATTTTTAAGATGTGATCACAGTGAATCCTTTAGTGACATAATAAAAAGTGAATATTTTAACATGGTAACATTGTATTTATGATTTATTCCCAATTGTATATCCATGTCAAATGAGATCATTTTTAAGAATGCACATTTTAGTGCATTATGTTTATTTTTTCTTCCTTGCTATTCATGTTTTGTCTTGACTATTCATTGCAAAAATAAAATAAAGTAGGAGTAATTGACACTTAACATTCCCCTTGTTTTCTCATTTAAAGTATTAAATTTTTAATATTGCTAGGCGAGTAATAGAAAATATCTGCACATCAAAACTTAAATGACAAATGAAACTCATTTGAAATTCTTTTTAATTAAATTCAGTTTTAAAATGTATTTTTCTTTTTGTTTGTAGTTTAGCATACAATGTATTGAGTTTCATCACAGTGTCTTCATACATATGAATCATTATACTTTGTTCTAAATAAGTCCCTTCCCTACTGCCTGACTCTTTCCTACTTGTTTCCTTCCTTCCCTCCTTCCTTCCTTCCTTCCTTCCTTCCTTCCTTCCTTCCTTCCTTCCTTCCTTCCTTCCTTCCTTCCATTATTTCTTACCTCATTTCGTACCTCCATTAGGATTTCTTCTGCCCTTCACACGATCATCTTTCTGGTTTAATGACCTACAAACACACACATTTTAATGTATACAAAGATAAACATTTGATGGAAAGTTTATAATTCCTAGAAAGAGTTGGAGAGGTAGCTCAGTAATAGACTGCTTTCCTAACATTCACAAGGCTGTGGGTTGAATATTTACAACAATAGAAACAAAACAAAATAAATGATACAAAAGAAATTAATGTTGAGCATGAGAAAGATTAGTGACCTTAGAAAGAGCTTCTAATTCTAGCAATTTGTTTTGTTCTGTTTTTTCAAAGGGTGTGATTATAGTTTTGGTTGGGTCAGATTACAATAATTAAATTCTATAACAACCAGATCAACTTTACTTCACTTAATACAGTACAACTTCCAGTATCATTTACTCTTTAAAATAATGATCTTGGTATGAGATAGTTATTTTTTTCTTTTATCAGATCCTCAACAGGCATAGCCTGCAACATCCTCAGCCAACAGGTTGCTTTTAGAGGTTGTTTCTGTGCCATGGAAATGATATCACAAGTTTAATATTTTAAATCCCCTGTGAAATCTAATTTATATTTAACCAGTTTTATCCTTATTTCTGTATGGCTTTGTACATGTTAATCTTTTTCACTAGACTTAAGTTCAAACCATAAGTCACACACAGCCAAAAAACCATTTATTTTTCAATTAGTACATATTTCTGCAACTTCTATGTAAATGCCTGGACTAAGATAAGTCTAGAAACAAAAGATGAAACATACTGAAGAGAGCAAGAGCATCAAAAATCACAAAATAGATTATAGGGTTGCAAAATACAGAGAAAAAGGACACACACACACACACACACACACCCCACATGTATATAAACAGTTAATATAGCATTATCCTATAATAGGGTGACACTACCCCTACTAAGACACTAGAGGCTAACAAATCACAAAGCCCAGTCCCAGGAATGGGTTACTTCTTTTGGAATTATTGGCCAATGAAGTTCCATAGCTTCCCAACCAAACATTTCAGGCTGTCACTGCTTCAGAGACAGTGGGACCTGGGAGAATGGAGGCAATAAATGAGGCCGACTAAAGTCTCATGCAATAGTCAACTTTATTCAGAGCATCAGACAATTTTTTACTCTAAAAGTTAAGAGCAGTCAGGGGAGTAAAGTGTACAATCAGGGGGCTGGCCACGTGTGTCAGTCAAGCGGCAGGAACATGTCTTTGCATGGTGGCAGATAAACAAATAACAAGAGTTGGTGTAATGAATAACCTGAAGGAAACTCACTCCTGTCTGATACCCCTGGGATGGGCACGGAAGGACACTCCAAGAACAATTCTGTGTTTTGATGAAACTGAGGTCACAAGACTCATGCCTCGTTTTCTCACAGACACTCAGAATTCTTCTCACAGTACTCTATACTTGGACTGTGTTGTGGTAACAGGCAATTGCCAATACCAATGGTTACCCTTCAGAGCTTGACAGTAAAAGCCTATTGCTGAAGGCCTCACATACTCAAGTCATATTATTTGGAGATTCCAAGCTAGTACTAACCTGGAAAATCTGTCTCTACTGGATCACTTTATAGGACTGAAATGTGGGACACGGACTAGTGCAGGGGAAAACAAGTCATCACTTTTATGCAGCAATGAACCCTGTGAGCTACAACAATGACTGGCCTGGAAAATATCCCCACTAGTACTATAGAGGCATGAATATCAAGGGAGTAACCAAACATTTCTGGTTAGATTTAAATTTTGCTCTATAAGATGAAACCCATACCAGGCATCACTGTTGAGAGAAGAACCTGTGGCTAAACCGGTCATAAGCCCTATGGGAGAGCTAACTAGTAACACTGTGCTAAATGAGTTAACATAGATTTAATAGAACCCTGATGACTTATTATACCCATAAATTATAACCATAAAAATGTGGTGGTTAGCACAGTGACCCACAACTGGCACAGAGAATGAGAGACTGCAGAATTCTCGGCCTTAGTGAGACATGTATGTCACACACACCCTCATAAAGCTCAAGGGTTACTTAAACAGGGGGCAGGAAGTGTGGAAGAGATGAAAATGGTGGTCATTACGAGGAAACTGAGTCATCTGGGCACAGCGAGATAACCGCACACATGAAAATGCAGCAGTTGTGACTGCATGCCCCAGATCTGCACGAGCTCGAGCCAGAGCAGACCCCAGCTTGAAGGGGGGAAGTGGCTGGCAGTCCCACTCCAGTCAAGGCACTCTTAGCAATTGATAGTTGCTGGGAGAGGAAGAATCAGTTTTCCATAGGAGGACAGCTTCTGGTCATCGCTCTACGCTCCAGTGGAAGGTCACACATAGAAATAGGC